TGTCCCACAGATAGACCCTGTATAGCAGGGTTAGACCTAATGGAGATTGCCAATGGTTCAGCAGTCAGGGCATATAAGAGGGGGGAAAGCAGGCAGCCTTGGCGAGTTCCCCTAAAAGGGGAAAGGTTTAAGAAACCCAACCATTCACTGATGTAACATGATATAACAATTGCAACCATTAGTCCAAAGCCACAGCATTTTAAGCACTCCCAAAGATAGCACCATTCCACTGAGGCAAAAATATTGGCTGCATCTAGCACCACTTGTGTTAACATGGTCATGATAGGCTTGATGGTTCATAAACAAATGTCTCCTGTTAATTTCAGTATTTTTACCAGCTATAAAACCTGTCTGTTTGGGATGGATTAGAGAGATAATTACCTGATTGAAACACATGGCAAGTACTTTTACTAAAATTTTGATGTCCACTAGAAGCAGTGAGATTGGCCTGTAGGACTCTTGAAACAGCAGATTTTTACCTAGTTTGAGAACTAATACTATAAGGGCCTCCCTAATGGAATGGAGTGTTGAAGAGTTTTGAGTAGGTCTAATAATTTGGGAATTGGTGTTTCACTGTAATATGCTTGAATTGCACTGGTGAATTGTGATATAGCTGTAGCTTTTTCATCAGTGAAAAGTGGTGCATCAAGAAGAGCCTCCGGCTCTGCAGTCATTTTTTTAAACTCTGGGTGGTTGATTTACTAAAGCTGGAGAGTGAAAAATCTGGTGCAGTTGTGCATAGAAATCAATCAGCTTCCAGGTTTTTTAGTCAAAGCTTAATTGAACAAACTGAAGTTGGAAGCTGAATGGATGCCATGCACAGCTGCACCTGTTTTTGCACTCTAGTTTTAGTAAATCAACAACAGTGTGTTTTTGCTTGCCTGAAGCAGTATATACAGCAGTCAAGGAGTACAGGGGTGCAATAAAATTTGCGGACTTCTGCAGTGTTTTATCTGCCTTATGAGTTATTTTCATCCCATACATGGGACCATTATCATCAAACTATGGCTAAAACAGCCAATATAACCTACTTCTATATTGCTATATTACATAATCAGAGGTATATGTGTAGTAAAGGTAGTGGTATGAGATACTGTAATAGTTGATAGCTACTGTGTACATATCCCAGAACAACATATAAAGTAAAATGCCAGACACCGCTTTTGTAGTTTTGGATGAAATAGGCAAGAATTAGTAGCTCTGAATGTTTTTTTAATGTTGTTATTATTATTATCATTATTATTACGTTTTTATAATGTGGAGAAATTTTTAAGCTTTTGTGAGGTTTTCGTTGTTGTCTGTGTTCAAATTGGGGGATTTCCCTCATTTCCTTTGTGGTCACCAAGACAGAAAGTTTGGAGAAATATCATAAATAAGAACACAAACAGCAAAAAAAAATCTGACTGAAGTTCTAACGCATTTCAACTCTATTGGAAACTGAAAAGGTTTGGTTGGGGATCTACTTTTCTTTTTAAAAACTATGATGAATGTTAAAAACCATATGGTTGAATGTTAAATATGCGTACATTATGCCTGGAAATAAACAACTTTAGGTGGTGAAAATGTTTTATTTGTTCAAACTTTTAATTTAGTGGCAGTTGTAATTACTATATTTATGTTGTGTGAAATGCTTCTTGCTGTGTCCAGGGCTTGCTTTGTATTTTTGTTTGCCTCTCTTGCTGGGAAGTAACACCTTAATCATGGGGTAGAGGTCGGCTTGTGTTTTCCCTTTTGTTTTTTCTTAGTCCCTCTCATCCTTAGCAGTCAAGTATTTATGCTGATAATCTGGTATGTGGTACTTTGTGCAGGCACACAGACCATCATTCTTTTCTAATGAATAATTAAATTTCCATATGGCAAGTCCAGCATTGCAGCAGATGCAGCAGTTGCTGAGTGCATCGTTCATTAGACTGTAACGTCTTTTTTCCTCAGTCCTAACCATTAAAGGAAATCTAACACCACAGAGTTGTAACGAGGAATGAGCGATTATTTATCCTCTCGAACCCTTCTGCTACCATGTTTTTGTGTGGTAATATTAGTCATCAGCTCACCAACACCTTGAACTTTTTATGTCATTCATTAAGGAACTGGAGCATTACAAATAGATATTATGAGGCTAGTGTCACAAATCATTTGTTACACATCTTTCTTCAGCTACTCAAATGCTTGAGGAACAATTTTGTAATAATTTGGGTTGACTTATAAAGGGGGTTGATTTACTAAAGTTAGAAAATTGGGAACTGTGTTGACTCCAGTCTTTCAATCATAAATCCCATAACAATAATCCTGCATCCTTTTTTTTTCTTTTAATTTTTCTTGCACATCATTGGGTATGTTAACTTAGCTTAGTTTATTCATTTAAGTAGATCTAAACCCCAAATAAAAGACAACTACTTTCCTAAAGCACTTAGTATCATGAGCAATTGTTTTTTTGTTTTCAGAAAATGCTATTTTCACTTTTTCTTCATTACTTTTTGTATCTCTGTGCTGCTGATTTCCTTCAGCCTCTTTCGGTCACTTTCTGTCTTCAGTGCACTCACTCTAGAAGCACCTGCACATCATTGAAGCCATTTTCATGATAGTGATAAAAGTGGGCCAGGCTTCACAATGTGTGTCAGCCCAGGCACGTGTAGTCTCTACCAGGGGTGTATATGAGATGGCAATAATGCAGGATCACAATTAGCAAACAGGGAAGCAGCATTTGTACCCTACAACAGAAAGTGCCTGAACAAGCCCCATTATGACAGAATGCCCAGGTATTTTTTAAAGAATGTTGATTCAAATGGCTTCTTATTTGATATTTTGATGATTAGACTTAGAGCTCCATAAAGTTTCAATAAATCACCCCAAGGATTAAGGAACACTCACTGTGAGAAGTGTTGAATTAAGTTAACAAAGCTTCATCTTATTCACTAAAATAAGTTGACATGCAGCATGAATACTCACTGCTCCTTCAGTATATTAACCGACCAAATGGATGTAATCTATACCAGCCTATCTCAATCAGGGTTGCTGCTGAGACTGCTAGAGGTTCCTTCCTCTCACCTAAACTGACAAGTAAAGCAAGAGGGCAATTTTCGGCTGATTTCCAACATAAGTGGTTACATCATCTACTGTGTACACTGACCACTATTAGAAATACCACATATTTTTTGGACGAGTTTTATTTGTTGGTATTATTCATTTAATTTTAAGTTTTTTATTTAAAAATATTTTTCTGTATGGAGAAGGTGTGTGTTAAAAATGATCTGTCCTAGGTGTGCCACATTCTTTACTACTAATGTACTGTGTACTGTAGATGTGTTTTTTTTTTTTTTTTTTTGCAGGGATCCTTGATATATTAAAACTGTTTCAAGGGTTCCTAGGAGGTAAAAAGAAGGCTGATCTACAATGCTTTTACTTTTTTGAGTCATTACATGTTATTAAGAGGGACCTTTCAAGAAAAATTGAAGGTCCACTTTACAGTCAGTCCTCCATCTACCAAAGAGAAATAGCTTTAAAAATAACTAAAAAAAAAGAAGTGTTTACGAAAGGAAGATACAAGAAATACATTGCCCCTGGCTTCCAAAGCTTTTTTGGAAACATGGCTGATAACCCTTCACCTCACTGCTACAACCCGGCTGCGCTTTTGCAATCTCACTAGAATTCACTCAAGCCCATTGCAGGAGTGCATTCTCTAATTTAAACAGAATAGGACATGACAGGTACATTTTAAACAGGTTTCAACTTTCTGTAAATGAAATTCAGTTTTTTTTTTTTTTTTTTTTATTTGCCATTTGCTTTCAGTGCCAGTTGTCTTTGGAGTAGTTTTGGTTAAAGAATGAAGTTGAGAACCTCTTTAATATCCTACAGAAACTGCTCTTTTATTTTCATTTCAACTACTTGTACGTTAACTCCAAATTTGTATTTGGAAAACACACAGTATACAGTTCTTTTGGCAGTTAAAGGAAAGGGTTAGCTCATTTTGCTGGAATGTCAGGTAGATATCTGTATTATTTTTACTTGCACAGTAAATTATTAAAAGTGGTTTACAGGCTTTAGGCAGCCCCTGGGTGTCTTAACATAAACATGAACTTTTCTATGTGATCTTAGAGTAGAGAAGTGAGAATGGGTCTTGAACTTTGAAAGTTCATGTTGTGTTTGGTTTTTAATGAAGTCAATAGTTATTTTTCAGATGCTTGCTGTGTGTATTAGATTCCATATATAACTTTAATAGTCTTATGCTTTGCTCTTCTAGTCTCTTAACCGCTTGATTCCTTAAATCCTCTTGAGTCCCAGAGCATTTTTTTTTATTTTGGTTGTCTCGGTTACCTTAGTCTAACCTAGCTTATTATACATGTTTTTTTCAGAAAAAAATAGGGTTTTAATTTGGTAACTGATATATATACTGTGTATAATGTATATTTTCCTGATTAAACCTTGATTAAAATGATATTGTAATATTGTGACTTTTATTTAACATATCGAAATAGGAAAGTGGATATATATATTTTTTACTTAAGAAGCAATTTACTCCCCTTTCAATACTACATTGCAACACACACAGCAAGAAAAAAAATTTGGTTTGTTCAATTTGTTAGCGTAACATTAAGTGAAGATTAAGTGAGGTTGATGAGGGGCACAAATCAGCAGAGCAGAGTTTTTTTTTTTCCCAGGTCTGCAATCACTAAAAATTCAAATGGTATTGCATTCACCTATATACCGTATTTTTCGCTCCATAAGACGCACTTTCCCCCCCCCAAAAAAGGGGGGAAAATGTCAGTGCGTCTTATGGAGCGAATATAAAGCGACCGGTCCAGTATTTCCTCCACCACTATGTCAGAATACCGGGCCGGCCACTTAGCTGTTCTTTCGTGCAGGACCTTACCTGTTCCTCGGTACAGCGCTGTACAGTCTTCCCGCCCCGGCATCTGTGACAGCTGGGTGCCCAGTGCGCATGCGCGAGAAGCACTGCGCTTTGTGAATGGTACGGCATCTTCTGGGACACATGACAGGTCACAGGTCACAAAGCGCAATGTTTCTCTCGCATGCGCACTGGGCACCTGGCTGTCAGCCTGGTGCCCACACTAAAGGATGGACAACTCTGCGGAAGTGGGTGCGGGTACCTGTCAAATTCAGGTACCCGCTTCCCCTCCCTCCCCAAAGGTATGCAGTCTTAGTCATCCCCTGTACAGTCTGCAGTCTTTGGTCATCCCCTGTACTGTGTGCAGTCTCTGGTCATCCCCTGCACTGTCCGCAGTCTTTGGTCACCCCTGCACTGTCCGCATTCTCTGGTCATCCCCTGTACTGTCTGCAGTCTCTGGTCATCCCCTGTACTGTCTGCAGTCTCTGGTCATCCCCTGCACTGTCCGCAGTCTCTGGTCACCCCTGCACTGTCTGCAGTCTCTGGTCACCCCTGTACTGTCCGCAGTCTCTGGTCATTTCATGCACTGTCCGCAGTCTCTGGTCACTCCTGCACTGTCCGCAGTCTCTGGTCATCCCCTGTACTGTCCGCAGTCTCTTGTCATCCCCTGTACTGTCCGCAGTCTCTGGTCACCCCTATACTGTCTGCAGTCTCTGGTCAGCCCTGCACTGTCCACAGTCTCTGGTCATCTCCTGTACTGTCTACAATCTCTGGTCATCTCCTGTACTGTGTCCGCAGTCTCTGGTCACCCCTGCACTGTCCGCAGTCTCTGGTCATCTCCTGTACTGTCTGCAGTCTCTGGTCATCTCCTGTACTGTCCGCAGTCTCTGGTCATCTCTGTACTGTCCGCAGTCTCTGGTCACCCCTGCACTGTCCGCAGTCTCTGGTCATCTCCTGTACTATGTCCACAGTCTCTGGTCATCTCCTGTACTATGTCTGCAGTCTCTGATCATCTCCTGTACTATGTCTGCAGTCTCTGGTCATCTCCTGTACTGTGCCTGCAGTCCATTGGTTCAGAATATTTTTTTTCTTGTTTTCCGCCTCTAAAACCTAGGTGCGTCTTATGGTCAGGTGCGTCTTATGGAGCGAACAATACGATAGGTGAGCATTTGACAGTTGCTCAGTGAATGCAAATGTCATCCAGATCATCTGACATCATTGCTGCAGTTTGGGATTTAATCTAGGGTGGGAGCATTTTTTCTATTTTGTATTATACAGTGAAGGAAATCAGTATTTGATCCCCTGCTGATTTTGATATTTGCCCACTCACAAAGAAATGATCAGTCTTTAAAATCGAATGGTAGGTGTATTGTAACACTGAGAGACAGAATAGCAACTAAAAATTCAAAAGAAAATGCATGTCTAACAAATTATGCACTGATTTGCATGTTCATGTGGGAAATAAGTATTTGATCCCCTTCACAAAACATGACTTAGTACTTGGTGGCAAATCCCTTGTTGGCAATCACAGAGGTCAGACGTTTCCTGTAGTTGGCCACCAGGTTTGCACACATTTAAGGAGGGATTTTGGCCCACTCCTCTTGGCAGATCCTCTCCAAGTCATTAATGTTTGGTGGCTGACGTTTGGCAACTGGAACTTTCAGCTCCCTCCACAGATTTTCAGTCGGATTAAGGTCTGGAGACTGGCTAGGCCACTCAAGGACCTTAATGTGCTTCTTCTTGAGCCACTCCTTTGTTGCTTTGGCCATGTGTTTTGGGTCATTGTCATGCTGGAACACCCATCCACGACCCATTTTTAATTTTTATTTTATACAGTATATAGAGACTGTAAATTTACATTTTTTAACTTTTTCTGCAGCATAAATTTATCTCTGCTCCTCATATAATTTGTATTGGTGTTTTGGTGTTTTTCTTGCTATGATCAATATAGCAGTGACCTACTGCTGCAGGTAGAGGCTACACAGAGCTTCAGCAACTCTGTCTTAACCTCCACGCTGACAGGAAGTGCAGTGACATCACTGTTTACATCACTACATTCACAATTAAAGCACAATAGGAGTGCTCTCTAGAAGCATTTGAAGTCTACGATCTGATCATTTTAACTCCTGGACCTAGCACCAGGTCCAGCTGACAGCCAGTGGTTCCAGCTATAATGCTGACAGGGACCCATAGGAGTTGGTGAGTCTGAGTACTGTGTCCTGGAACAAATAACTGTTGTCCCTGTACCATTTTAAAATGGCAACTAGGACTCAAATGGATAAAATACTTTTTTTTGTAGACATAGAAAAGTATTTCACATAGGGGTTGGTACATGGATCCATGTATGTGGCCTCAGTTTTGGGGATATAGTGGTAAGAAGTGGTCAGAATGGGATAGCATAACATTTAGGTTTCTCATATGCCCTAGTTTCATGGGGAGAGTCTCATTTCTTTAAATTCTTAGATTTAATTTTGTTTATTGCATTAGACTTTTGCAGGGTAAAAAAGTGTACTTATAGTTGTTTGGTTTTAGTATTTATTTAGCGTTAAAGCTGAACTCCAGATAATTGCATACTTACATTAGTCCAGCTTGGACAAATGTAAGTACGGTATGCATATCTCATACCTGGGAAGGTTTGCAATCACTGTAGTAGTTGGAGCTATTACAGTGATAGCCATGATCTTTAGGGTCCTGATCATGTTCTATGCAAGCGTCTTCTCTGCACACTGTCCAAAGGGGTTGTTTGCTCAGCTCTGGCCGTATTCATATGATGCTTTGTATTTTTTTTTAGTGAATACAAGGCAATCTCTGATTGGACGAGGTAAAGTTTGTGAGATGACCACCCCTTCTCTCCACCGAATCCAATCAGAGAATGCCTTATATTCTTAGGAAGAAATACAAGACAGTGCTAAGCAAGTTGCCTGCTGTGGTCATTATGCAGAGGGGAAGTTGCTTGCACAAAATCTGAGTAGAACTCAGAAGATTGCAACTATCACTATAGTAACACCGATTTCTAGAATGATTGTCAAGTCCCCAGCGGCTCCTCGGGTATGGGATGTGTATACTTACATTGATCCAAGCTGGATCAATATAAGTATGTGATAAAGATCATACCTGGAGTGCAGCTTAAATTACTTAGTTGTGGAAAATAAACTGATGGTTAATGTATTTTATTAGTGGTCTGCAACTTCTAATAAATCAACATCATCATTGATCACACAGTTGATAGTGTTCTTGGAAGTCTTAATTCTTATAAGGGAGATATTTATTTGCAAACTTAACAACATTAAAATGGGATTGCAATTTAATTTTACAGTCTACTTATAATGTGAATCCCCTGTATACTAACAGAGAGGGTTTCTCATTCTCACAGACATAAAAGAACTAAAATTGAGGCCCTGAAATTGCTGTTGTTTTATTTAAAGCGTGTGTAAAGCCGAAAATGTGGAAAAAGGTTGGCTGATTTTTTTTTTTTTTTTTTTGCTGTCTGAATGCTTGCTGAGACGATGCACTCCTCTACTTTGTCATGATGATTACTGTCCATGAAATGGAAACATAAGGAATAACTAAAATATTTGAGCTGTCACAAAGGCAAACAGTGAGTTCTTCCAATAGGGATATCTGTTCCTGTGATAGCTAAGTTAGGAATTCCCCTCAATTTGGGGAGATTTTGAATTTCCTGTTGAGTTTGCAGGGCGGGAAGGAAACGGAATTCTCTGTAGTGAAACACAAAGATCAAAGAAAAGAAAAAGAAAACCTGATAGAATTTTTAGCCTTCTCTATGCTGTCCAAAAGTTAAAAAAGAAACATACTGAGTAGAGTTGGACACATACATCAAGTAAGGATACTTAGAAATGTCATTATATTTGTGTAATATCTAAGATGATGCTTGGTTTCACATGTAAAAGTAAATCTTTATTTTAGCAGTCTAAGCATATGTAGTAGTTGGGACAAGGGCCCATCTGTATTGTGGATGAAGGGTTTGGACACAGGGTTGAAACATCAATCATGCAAGAAAAACATGTGTTCTTATTTCATATCTATTCTCATATTATTTTTATACAGCTGTATAGAGTATTTTTGTGACAGTTTCTGTCTCACTTAGCTCAATCTCCACTTTAGGTAAAAATGTTATGCTTCCATGTGGAGATAATGGCATAAGAGTGTGGGTGGGCAGCTTTGAAACTTTGAGGCTATGCACTGGAGCCAATGGCACACTGCTGGTGGTCAGTACCTTTAGGAAGATCTTTACTAGTGAAAAAGTAGTCTTCAGATATACCTTTTTGTTACTTCTGTTTAAAGGGAATGAAAAATGGGGTGCAGGAAGAGGCAAGATTACCTAATGCAGTAAATCAATCATTGTGAAGACAATATGAAAGAGTGTACACATATACAATTATTATTATTATACAGGATTTATATAGCGCCAACAGTTTGCTCAGCGCTTTACAATATAACGGGAGACAATACAGCAACAATACAGTTCAATACAAGAGGGATAGGAGGGCCCTGCTCCTTGGAGCTTACAATCTAGGAGATAGGTTTAGATACAGATTAGATAGGTTCCAATGCATTGGTAAGTACTTTTTTATGCTGCAGCCAAAATTTTGACTTAAAGAGAAACTTTGCTCAGCTTTGAAAAATGTAAACGTCAGCAGCTTCAAGTACTGTAGCTGCTGACTTTTGAGAAACACATACTTGGAGGCCATGAAGTCCAATGCTGTTTCCATGCACCCAGTTCTTTGCAGGGCTTCTGATTTTCTGCACCACCATTTGGCTTCAGGAGGGAGCTGGTACTTCCTGGTCACTCATGGCCACTCGCTACTGCACATGTGCAAGATTTATACAACAAAATAAATGGATAGATTAATAGTAGTTGGGTGTGCAGTCTTGCTCTAACGTTATTTAGTCAAGGGAGTGTTTCTCTGGAGACTTAATGCTGCAGAAAACATGCCATTTCTTGATTGCCTGGTGATCACACTTTTTAAAATATAGCACAAAAATATTGGCACTTGATAAGGAAATGAATATTTATTAATACAAACATACAGTTATGTGTCATTTATGGTTTAATCTAACACTTCCTTAGGCCTAGTAGTGATTTATTATAATGAATATCTCAGATCATAAAGCCTTTAATCCTGGTGGATTTCAGCAGATATAGTAAATGTTGCCCTCAGTCAAATGGTCAGGTTCTGTGACATTGATTTTCTTAATGAATATTGCAGTGGTGTTGGAATATTGATGATGAAAAACCCTGGAATGATTTGTGGAGAATATATGTGGTTGATATCACTTTGTAGCGATGGGATTTATTGAATAAAGCATTTCTGTATTTTTCTAGTTAAAGTGAACACGATACCTACACATTTCGGTCTAAATAAGTCTGTTGGCCAAAGGTAATAACACCAGATTCTCCGCAAAGCAAAAGGCTTTTTCTTCTAGCGCCCTTATAATAAGCTGCATTGTATGTTGGCACCAACATTTTCAAATTTGATGTAGTATGCCATAGATTTGTTTTGGTGTGTAAAAATATTTGATGTTATATCATTTTTGTGTAAGTATTGCCATGACAGAATTTATAGCAGGAATAGTATTTAACTGCAATGAATTAGTATTTATTTACTAACTAAATGTTTCGGAATTAGGTTTAGGGGTTAATGTTTAATGGATCTCAAAAGGAATTTATACTTTTTTACCTTCTTTAGGGTTGTGATAGGAAGGAAACTATATATATCAA